ATCCGCCTTGATCAAAAAATTCCCGGAATATATATATATATATATTCCGTTTAACCAACATGTATTGTATGATAGAATGAGGTTATAGATAATTTAAATTAAATTTCATTCTTTTTTGCGGAATTTTTATTTATATATTTTACAAAATAACTATACTTTTGCACCATTATGTCTTTATACAAATGTGTTCAATGAATGCTCTTTATTTATATGACTTCTAATGGCACGTTGACTTGAATTGAAGCTGATGAATATAAAAATATTTCATATATTGAAGTTATGTGCACAACATAATTCTTTTTATAAAATAAAGGTAAGTTCAATTGTTCTTATAATAATAATTTAATTCATCAAAAATAAAAAAATAAAATGTAATATTAATTTTATTATTATATTTTATTATCAAAATATTTTTATATATGTACATTTAATTTTGTAATGTACTGACATGTATACGTTATGATAATATTTATTTTTGTAAAATAAAAGGTTTATATAATGTACTGCAAATAAAATTTAATTTCGGCTGATCGTTTTTGACCTTCTATTTTTTAATTTAATGTAGGAATACAGATATATTAAACACACACACACACACACACACACACACACGCGCACGCACGCACGCACGCACACACACGCACACGCACACACGCACACACCACACACACACACATACACACACAAATATCACAGAACTTATATAGATATAGATTATAAGACAATAAAAAAGAAGATTTTATATAATTAACTTCATATGATATTTAACCTTTTTTTGTAATACTTAAGAAAAGATATAGCTAATAATATAAATATTAATGTATAAAATAACATTACTGTTACATTTAGAGAGACCAGCCCTTGTATTCTGTAACTCATTATGCAGTTGTTATGTGTTCAAAACTCGTAATACAGTCAACTGCATAACAAATTACAAAACAGAGGCAGCAATAAAATTCTATAACTCTACCGAGTTATATGGAATTGTAACTTATAACGACTGCATAATGAGTTATAGAATGCAAAGGCAGAAGCGCAGCCGGTTTTTATATAGGATTGATTATCATGAAGCTAAAAACTCAACTAATATACTTTCTTTTCACTTTGATTGCTGATTAAATTGTATAAAATGATCTGCATTAAAATCGTGTGCATAATAGGCAAAATTTTTATAAAAACATCATTTTATAATTTCAAAATAATTTAAAATAATTTCTTTTCTATCAGAATGCTACGAGGAAAGTTTTTTAGTTCAGAAGAACAAATAAAAATACATATAAGCATACCGCGATGCAGACATTTCTGTTCAAGAGGTCGTCAACAAATTGATCCAGTAATTCTATAAATAATTTTTTGAAAACTATGATAAAATTTTACTGGTGGTAGTACAAAAATTATAATAGGATAATTCACGAATTTTAAAGAAATACGAATACTGGGAATAAAACTGCTGGTGAAGTAACAAGAGTTCTGAAACCGATTCTGTAGCCGGTTGTTGTATACGTGCCACAAATACAAGATAAAGATTTAAAATGGACAAAAAATCCTTGATGTCTTCTCATACTCAAAGCCATAAAACTGCAAGATTAAAGTTCGCTCGAAAACTGATTTGGCATGAAAAAGAAAAATGTATTTTTAACAAAAAGGTAACCTACATAATCTGATGGTTTTAAATATTATTCATATGATTTACGAACTGATAAGCAGCCATGAGCAGAAATTTCGACGGAGGATGTTTGATGGTATGGACTGCGTTTAATTATTCAAAGACGTTAATATGCAAAATTTGTATCAGAATGAACGCAGAAAAATATATCGACTTATTAGAAGATTGCTTAATTCCATTTATCGAAGAAAATCACGAAGAAAATGTTATTTTACAACAAAACAACGCTGCTATACATATTATTTATAAAAAGATAATATAATTTATTTGCTCCTAATACTGGTTTTTTTTTACTATTCCTTCATAATTTTCTTTTTTTTTCAATAATTTTATTTAAAAGATATTTAGATTTTTTTTTTATTAGAAACAGTAGTGTAAGTAATACAGTGAACGAAAATTTCTTATAGAAACTTTCGTTCACTGTATTATTTACAACGGCGTTTAAGGAAATAATATTGGGAAAAATTTTCTTACTTTTTGTGTTTTAGTATCTCGATTTGATTATAATCAATCTCAATTTAATTATAATCATAGATAATTATAAGCCTTAGATAATTTTTGTGTAGTTAATTTATTTATGATGATTGTAACAAAAAAAGTTTAATAATATTATCTCTTTCAATAAAAACAGCCATGAGAGTAAATCGATTAAAATAAACCGGAATTAGATAATAGTTAATTTTAAGAATATTTTTAGAATATTCTCAGAATATTTATGATAAATATTTATTACTATTTATTTCTTTGAAATGTTATATAAATATTTTACATTTACTTTTTTAAGTTATTTTCGAAATATTATTAAAATATGAATTGAACACTTTATAATAATTTATGATAAATATAAGTAAATATTTCTAGTAAATTTTCTATATATTTCTGAATTATTTGCTTGGAAAGTCAATGTTTTATAAAGTGCAAACTAGCTATCTCAACATGATATTTGCATTATGAAAATATAAAAATAGATAGAAGAAAGTCTCTTCTTATAAGATAAGCTCCTAATATAGGATATCAGAGTTTCGAATAAACTGACAGATGTCAATATTTGTGAAATTGGAAGCCAGAATGCCGCTATCTCATAGGAATCTATCCTATAATAGGAGACTTTACTTTTAATAATTTTCCTTGATGAAAATAGTTTTGATTATCCATTATCCACGAACCGTGCATTCATCACTGCCATCTGAGGAATAGCAATGCGCAAGGAATAGCGATGCGATCACCGTACATAAAAAAAATTAATCACTAAGATATACTTGTAATTCTGTAATGTTCAAAATGAAAATTTAAATATTTTTGGAACAAAAAGCTAATATCGTTAGCTCAATCAAAGCTCAAACTTCACTAACTTATTTAACTAACTTATTAATATAGTTTGTGGGACAGGAATATACTCACAAACAATAGATATGATATAAAATATGGAAAAATAATATGTAATATAATATTAGTAATATTTAGATATAGTAACAGTATAAATAACAAATTTGCAACATTACTAAGTAATAATTATCATCTCTTCCTTGAATTGTTACTTTCATGTATTGTGTATATTTACAGACATATTGTGTGTGTGTGTGTGTGTGTGTGTGTGTGCGTGCGTGCGTGCGTGCGTGCGTGCGTGTGTGCATGCGTGTGTGCGTGTACGTGTGTGCGTGTACGTGTGTGTGTGTACGTGTGTGTGTGTGTGTGTGTGTGTGTGTGTGTGTGTGTGTGTGTGTGTGGATACGTAAAAATCTTTTTATTAAATCGTATTGGATAAATATTGACGAAAGGAGACATATATATCAAAGTCGTGACCTTGAGTAATCTTCAACAAATTTTAACTGTCGCTCATTCTTCGTTAAAAAATTATTACAAAAAGAAGTTTTGAAAAAAATCACCTTTTTATTATAAAAAGAAAAATTTTCCATTTTAAAATGTATTTTAGAAGAAGCAACGCATACAACGCATACAATATGAGATTTATACATCTAAAAGTCGAAAATCGTTCGCCTCTAGGCAAGGGATTCTGTTGGAGATCACTCAGGATCATGATCGCTACAACATACGTCAAGGTTAAGGTTATTGGAATCTAGTCTCCTAATCGGTACTTTTAATCAACATAATTTACGCGATTCTTGTTTTTACAATTAATACAGTTTGTACAATTGATAATGTAGTTAATTTCTAGTTTTCGTTTATACATAAAAATATTATTATAAAAAAATTGAGCGTAATTTTAGAATTATTTGTTGATAATTAAAGAAACATTTTATTTCTTTATTAATTTCTGTTTCATTCAATTTATCTTAATTGTTACAGATATCATAGTAAGAGATACATTTATTCTATCTGCTCTCTGAATTTATCTTATAATAGTGACCAATTTGATATATGCATGATATTTATTTTTAGAAGTTTAAAGTCGTCAAATTGTTTGCATTTATACAATAGTATATAAATTTATTAAATAAGTTAGTGAAGTTTGAGCTTTGATTGAGCTAACGATATTAGCTTTTTGTTCCAAAAAT